AGCATCACCTGGTGTGTGTCTGGCACATCACCATTCCGAGCCCTGGCAAACTGCTGCAAAGGGCCAGAGGAACACAGAGGTGCTCAGGGTTGGCACCTACAAGGAGCCAGAGATGAGGGTCATGAAACACAGCTACAGCTTCAGGCATTTGGCCTCCCATGGCTGGTGGACCAGCTGGAAACAAAAGATCACCCAGCCCACCCAAAGGCACCACTGGAGGGGTTGCTCAAGAGTGGCCCCAGGGCATGTCCCCAGCTGGTCCTGAAGCCACCTCTAGCCCTCAGGGAGGAGCAGCAGAGCCGTGGCTGAGGATGCTCTGCATCTCAGTGCTGCCTTCCCCCACACATCCATGGGGCAGGGAGGCTGCCCTTGACACATCCTGCTCCAGCTGGGTGAGAGCCACACTCTGCTGCCCAGGGAGGAGAACTTCCCTCGAGCACCTCCCCGGCACTGCTCCACACCGTGGGTTCTGCACAAAAGCCTTTGGAATTGCCCAGTCCCTCCCTGCTCCTGCAGCCCGTGCGCCAGGACACAGCGATGTGGGTGAGGTTAGCACTGCCCTCACACAAAGGACATTTGTCATCCCCTCTGCAATGCCTCAACCACAATTTCCTGACCTCCTCAGTGAGTAATTTCAAGTCAAATCTATAGTTTTTTCGCCTCTGGTTTTGAAACATTATTTCTTTAATGTCTATTTGTGTCTGCCTGCAGAAGAAAGCTCCTTTAGTTTAGGCTTTTATTAGTCATTGTTCCACTGCTGTTGCATTCTTAGGAGCTGAAATTAAATTTAAAGTGCATTTTTCAAGGTAATAAAAATAAGCTTAGGCATATATTAGTGAAAAAAGATCCATTTGTAATAATTTCCTGTAATAAAGCCCATATGTTTTGTTTTTGTAAAATAAGTGCCAGTAATTTTTTTCTAAACTGAGGAAAGTTTAAACATGAAAAAAGGAAAGTTAATTTAAAAAGGGAAAAAAAAAAAAAGGAACCTATTAATGGGTTATTCCTCAAAAAATAATCAAAACCAAAATTTATGAGTTGTCTTCATTCTCAAGACAAAACAGAGTGTGGAGATGTGTTCCCACACACTGGGATGCAACCCCAATTCTGAAAGAATGAGTCCAGTGCACAAGGGAAGGAGAAAAGTATAAAATACACAGACAAAATGATGAAAATATACTCTGAATGAACTATTTCTTTGACTTTGGAATAACCAACAGTGGAAAGTTACCTAATTACCAGAACACTTTTGTCTCAGCACTCCTTGAAATGAAAGCAGTGTCAGACTTCTTGCCAACTATCTTATCTCACTTCATCAGCAAAGATAAATACTCTACATAAATCCTCTACCTAATTTCTCTGTAACTGTGTGAGCCAATACTTCAGCAGAGAAAAAGAAACTAAAAAAAAAAAAAAAAAAAAGCAGATAAAGAGGTAGAATTCTCCTTATGCATGAATTAAAATTTTCATTATGCATAAACAGCCCCAGTGGAGTTACTCCACCTCTGTGGGCCAGAAAATGCCTCCCAACCACCAAATCTACAAAGCCCCCAGAGTCTCCCCTCCGAGGTGTAACCCTTTGTTTGTGCCAGCAGCCACGGAGGAGCTCAGCACAGCTCCTGCTGCTCCCCAGGTCACTGAGCCCTCCCAGCCCGGAGCAGCACCCAAAGGTGAGGCACATTCAGCCAAGACTCCAGAACAAGCACATCTGTTTTTCAGGCTGCCTTTCCTTGCTGCTCCAGTCTGCCTAAGCCTCCCCATGCAGGATGTGATCCTTCCACAAGGAGTGAAGTTCTGCTACAGGCTGCAGCATCTGTTCTGCCTTCCTTGCTGAGGGATGAACTTTTCTGCTCAGAGGCAGCTCTGCAGGAGCTCAGCTTTGCTCCTCGGCAGTTCCTGCTCCCTCACTGACTCCCTCCCACTACCTGTCTGAAAAGGTGCTCAGAGCAGGAAAAGGAAAGAAAGCAAAGCAGTCAAACCTATGATCCCAAAGCCAGGCATTTTCACCTGCACCACTCACAGCTCGTGGCACCACGGACCCTTTAGGCAAACACAGGGGAAAACAGCCAGGTCAAACGTGAAGTAGAGGAGATGGGCCAAGTGTCTCCTCCCCAGGACTGCTGCTCTCAGGTGGGAAAAACCTTTCAGGAGGAGGAGAAAATGACCAAGCTTCTGCAGCTCCACCATCCCCCTGGGGCTGATGGGGGGGATCCCCCTGCATGTGAGAGGACCACCCACACAGCTTTAGGAGAGGACTGCTGACTACAGATCCCAAGCAAAGGCTGGATCCACCCAGTTATGATAAATGTGCCAAATCCTGATTTTTTTTTTTTTCTAGGATTTAAGGGTATTCTCAAAACCTCTCATGGACCAGCTTAGTCCAACAGGAAGGGCCAGTTTGGAGGTTCATGCTGAGCACCATCAGCTGTGCCCACCGGATCTCCTGGGCTCTGACACCTGAGCACGCCACAGCATCAGACTCCTGACACTGCTGTAGGAATTTGACTGCTACACCATAATGCATCCTGTCCTTTATAGCCCAAATGACTCCTGATTGCTTCCATATGCCAGGCACACCACGTCCAGTGGGAGCCATTCAAGCAAACATTTGTAATCAGAGCTGTCCCAGGGTCCCCCGGAAAATCTGAGTCAAAGCACGTGTCTTTTGTTCTGCACCAGCACTGCTACAGGAGAAAGCAGGGCCCAGGCTCAGGAATGGCTGGGAGGAGAGAAGACAATAACACCCATTGTGGAGATGAGGTAAAGTAAAGAATAGTGAGCAAATTCTGTGGATAATGGAAATATTACCTCATAGGTTAACCTGCAGGTTAATGGTCTGTGCGCTTTTCTCTCAGTGATGCATCACTGGGTGAGACACTTGGGTAAAAGCAGAGAAAATGAGGTAGAAGAGATCACCCCATCTCCTCAAATGGAATAATGAAATACTGCCAGATGCCAGTTATTCCACCTTCTCCTCGAGATAAGTGGATGAGTGTCTGTGCCAAATACAGCTGCACACTTGGTTTACATAAGGTTAGTTTCTCACTTGCTTCAGAGCTAAAGAAATCCATGGCTGGACTGCTTTGCCTTTCAGTGACCACAGCAGCAAAAGTCTCCCACATCCACAGCTGAGTCGTGTTTTCTTTGCCTTTTCTGATAACAGAGTAGCTCAGTATGTCTCCAATGATGAAAGGCAACTCGTCCATTTCATGTCAAGGAGCACAATTATTCAGCCAAGATGACAGCCTGAACTCAAGTCACCCAAGCTAAGCCTTCCCAAAATTTTGTTTGTAGAATTAAGGGGAGGGCATGTGGTTGCTTATTTTTACAATATTGCTTTTCCTTTTTTTTTTCTGAAAAGACAACTGGACACAAGGAAAATAATGTTACACGCACACTACATGGTACAGGCAGAAATACATCCTCCTGAAGTACAGAATTTTTCTCCTTAGAGCAAATTCATGTGAAGTACAATGGAAGGCCAAAAGCTGTGCACAGCCATTACTCCTGGTTTGTTTCCCTCCTCCCCATGGCAGCAGCACACATAAATCCTGACAGCCAGGTGTCACAGCTAAACCAATGCTGTGGCTGATGGCAACCACAATGCCACAGTGAAGAGCAGCATGTTGCTATAGATCTAATTACAATTTACACTGAGCCATAAGGGAAACAAAAGAGATTATTTTCTTCTCTCTCTTCTTGACCCTGCAGATCTGGGATGAGATCTGACCCACAGCTCTGATCCCACAGCCAGGACTACTCAGAGAATCTTTGCACTGAGCCTGGGTGCAGCAAGGGAGTCCAAAAGCCCAGCCTGGACTACAGCGAGGGAAAAGAGTCTCTGCTCCTGCTCTACGGCCTGGCAGATAGTCAAGCATTCATAGCCTTTATTATCTGCTGACTGCATCTTTCAAAAGAATGTCCCGAGGCTGCTCACACAGATTCTTCATGCAACAGCTACTTGAATGTTACTGTTTGCAATGTTAGATGTGGAATTGGCCTGCAAGTCTGATTAACTTTCCTGGTGGAGTCAGAGAGTGTTGGCTAAAGCTGACACCTCTTTCCTTTTATTTGTTTTCCCTTCCAAAGCAAACAGATGGAGATGAATTTTACATTCTCTCCAATATCCATCAGCTCCGGGCTGCCTTTTTTCCCCTTTTTTATTTCTTAAATCTAGGCAGAATTGACCCTATCATGGAGACAGGCAGTACTAGAAAACATCTGGCACACACTTCATTACAGCACAGAAAGCTATATAAGTATATATAGAAATGCAATTAGAATAAACCACCAGGGTTTACGTTTACACGGCACTTTTCATTCTTAACGTCAAAGTGTTTTAGAAAAACAAGCATTTCTTAGGGGGTAAAAAGCTAGAACAATTTTTAACACAGACACACGTGACACGCACACCGTGGCTCTGACATCCCACATCTGCTGTCTGCTTGTGCCCCCCAGCACCCACACCACAAGGGGGTCTTTGGGAGACCCTGTCTGGCACTCGGGGACTTACGTGGACTTCCCGCAGATCTTCCTCTGGTACCACTGCTTGCAGTTGGTGAAATATTTCCTGTTGGTGCCGATCAGCTTCTGCACCGCGCACACGTTGGGGCTGCAGGGAACAGAGCAGAAGAGGGTCCTGTAAGCCTCCCTCTTTCCAATGCTGACCCCCAACACACAGCCAGACCCCACCTGACAGTGCCTGAAAAGCCAGCTGGGATGGCAAGGGAGGAAACCTTGAGAGCTGCAAGTCAACTTGCTCGATTTAGCCCTACAATGAAGTGGAAGAAGCAGTAGAAGAGATCTCTCCTGACTCTGCCAGAGTGTCTCTTTCTTCACTGAGTACAAATTCTTGACTTTTTTTTCCATGTTCCACCTCTCACCAAAACATAAAGAAATCAAGTAAAAATCCTTCCGTCAGAAATTCCATGGTGAACATCTACTTAAAATTCAAAAATCAGCTAAAATCCAAGAATGATACGCAATAATACAAATCCTTGCAAAAGAAACCATTATTTTATTGCCTAGCACATAAAAAAAAAGATAAGACAGATATTTATCAGTCTACAGACTTGTATCAAACCCAGAACTTTGGCTGTATGATAGACTCGGCAAATTCTGGACATGGATGCTGAGCTGAATGAGGGAAAAGGGGCAGTGGCATTGCCCTCCACTGTTTCAACACATCAGATATGACAGCACAGATCAAGAGGGGCTGCACCAGCCCATAAGGTACCAAGAGCTCCTCCTCAGCCAAAAACCCAGGTGGTTGGTGTTCCATGTGGGAGTAACCCTCCTGAGAGCCGACTGCAGCCTGCAGCTTTCTAAGAAGTGGTATCACCGTGAGCAGAGATGTGGTCAAGCTGGAACTGGAAGTTTCTTTGCTGCTGGTTTGGCCAGCACAGCATTTCCCTGCAGTGCCTGGCTCACCATCTCTGTGGTTTGTGGCCAGCAGCCCTGGCCACATGTGTAGGCAAAACATGGTCAGCACAAAAGATATGATTTATGGATCTGGGTTGCAAGGCCATCAACTGCCTCTGAGCTTGACCAGTGGTGTAGTAAATGCTCAAGCAGGCTGAGGATGCTTAGCCCAGCTGAGCTGGATTCCCAACACCACCACCATGTCCCAGTTGCAGCAGCATCACTAAAAGTATGCACAGTATTGGCTGCCAAGCAGATGAAAGGAAAACAAATAATTAAGCAAAACACATAAATCATCACTTCACCCTGTCAGAAGTTCTCTGTGCTGTCCAAGGCAGATTTTTCATTTGCACAAACAAAACTCCCAATGGGGTCTGGAGATGCTCTTGTGAAGGTCTCGTTGCTGTGCTGAGGAGAGCAGGCAGCAGCCTGTGTCCCGCTGCGTCTGACCGCGGCGCTGCCCGCTTGCCCCCCAGCATGAACAAAAGCAGAGTTTGCAGCCCAACCACCAAGTCCTCCTGTGGCCGTGCTTGCTTTTCAGCGGCATCCCAGATCGGGCCAGCCTGCCATCATTAACCTGAGGGTCTCCTGTAGCTGGCTGACTCCAGTGCCAACCTCTGCGGGAGCCTGGCTTGCCTTCAATGAGCCTTTGTTGGTGCGGCTGCTGCAGGGCCCTGCCGAGGCAGGTCCGACCCTGTGTCCCTTCATCCCGCCCCGAGGGCAAAGAGAGGACCTGTGGCACCTGGGCAGACTCAGCTCATCGTTTCTCTTGTTACTGCCACGTCCAGTAATGGTAGTTTGTTTCTTCATGAAAGGATTTCATTCACTTTCTGTATTAAGGCAGGGAACAAGGGGCAAGAACCTACTGAAAAAAAGTTAGAAATTACAAAACCAAACTTTCAGCTGGTGCAAACTGGCCCAGACTCAGCAACTTCCAAGCCAAATCATCACTTAGAGAGATGTCTGTGCTCTCTGACTCAGCCCACCTTGGCCACCCGGCCCTGCCCTGCCGAAATATGGTTCCAATTACATGGAAATTCCAAACCTTGCCTCGATGTTAGCATCTGGCTGACGGCAGTGGACAATCCCTCTAATATTCATCTTGACAAGCCTGGCTACTGAAGGACTTGTTTGATCACTTCCCCCACATCCCCAGGAGCAGCCTGCCAAGAAAACCCTTGTGCCTCCAGGACAGTACTTAACTGCCTTGCTCCCTCCTCCCTGCCCGGGACTGCAGCTCTGCCGGGCTGCTCCTCCCTCCCTGACTTATGGGGGAAAACTTCTTTCCAGTTTTTCCTCCGTGTGGAAAAACCCCCGCTCAGGACTGTGTTATCAATGATTCCCGCAGGCACGCTGTAGTAGCGGCTCCCCGCATTGCATGTTCTGGTTCCTTGCCCAGTCTGGCTTAAAATGAATTTGTCAACACTCTTCTCTCTCCTCATTGGAGTTCATCACCTCTGCCACGCCGTTCCCAGCCAGCCGCGCTGACTCCAGGATAAAACTGCCTATTGTTCCCCTTCAGCCAAAGCCTTTTGCTTGGCAGCAGCAGCTGGGAGCTGCTGGGACAGGGGCTGCCCTTGGGAAGTGGCTGAGAAAAGCGGGACTTAATGTACAGCCCCAGATACCTGCAATGGCTGTGGCCACGGCGCTCCCCAGCATCACATTGTGCCCACAAAGCTGGCTGGGTTTGGGAAGAGCACTCCTACATATGCATCTTCAAATGTTAATGTTCCTTATGCACTTTTCAGCTCCTCTCAATGACTTGAGCTGGTTCATTTAAAAAAAAAAAGTTAATTAAGACATACAAGTTTTGCTGTAGAGCCAAGCTCTGCCTCCCAACTCGCCCTCGGCTCAATAGGGGCATTGATGGTGTGGGGGATGCTGACAGCAGTGAAAGGGTGGCAGTGCTTGTTGCACATCCCTCTGGGGCTGGCTCCTGCAAGCAACACAACACACCCCACAGCCAGGACGTTTTTGGCTGGTTTTGTGCTGCTGTATCTCTTTGGCACATCATTAATCAATGCTCAGAATTCCATGTATGTTCAAAAGTAGCTTGGTATAAATCACTCTCTCCATCAGAATGGGAGCAGTGAGCAAAGAGCTGTGGTCAGCTACACTGGGTTTATCTCAACTCAGATGGAAGTTCTGGCATTCCAGTTCCTTGTGTTTTCCAAAGATCTCGGGCACCAGAGTGGACCAGTCACATCTTACCCAGTGCCTCTGGTAATTGTGCAGGGAGTAACGCAACAAGCTTCTCTCTGCAGAGATGAGTGTAAAGCACTGCTCTACACCAGGATTGCCCTAACTTATTCAGCCTGAGCAAACTTCAATCTCAGGGCTATCAGCAGAACTATTTATTTAGTTTCACATCACACAGAGATGGTGAACAAGACTCACTGTATTTCTATGTAAATCACTGCAATTCTGGCATTACTGACCTATTACAAATAAATATCAGCTCAAAATTTGCCTGTTGGATTGTGTCCCCGATCACGCATACAAACAACACATCCCTTGTCGTAAATTCTGACCTAGATCCCTGCCAGAGCATGTATCAAATTGCAATATTTAAATCTTGGGATTTTTTTTTTTTATTTAAAGCATTTCATGACCCTGCTTCCAGCAACACACTTAAACAGAAGCTTCAACTCAATCACTGTCACTATCCTGAGAGATTGAAGCCAGCTGAAAGGTCTTTCATCCTTTCACCATTCCTAATTCTTAATAAATTATAAAAACAGTGGGAACAACTATTAACACTGGGTTAGTTTTCTGATTATTATTGAAGACTCAAAGTACTCACTCTGTAAGAGGCTGTGTATCAAGCAAGAGAGGTCTACATGCATTTTTCCATAGGCCTTATCTTGTAAGGTTTATGAGTAAGTAAGTGATTATTTCTGTCAAGAAAACTTCCAAGACTGAGTCAAAGAGTAAGTTGGTGCTGATTCCACAGACACATTGAAGTGATTTTCCTTTTTTTTCTTTAAAATTCATAAAAATGACAATTCTTTCCACAAAATCTTTAATGGCTCAAAATCTAGGGATTTTATACCCTTTTCCCTTAATAGAGATAAACTGATAAAGAAGCATCGAAGGCTCTGAACTGACATCTGCAACACTAAGTTTCGTGATGGAAAGGGGGAACAGTTCCCGAAAGACAAAAAGTTACGAGGGGACGCAAGAGAAGGAAACGAAAGCAGCGGTTACCGAGAGAGCTCCGCACGGTGCCCGCGCAGAGACCCCGCGCCCGGACCCAGGCGGACCTGGGGAAAAAGGCTTTCAAAGAGCTTTTCCCCCATCCCTGCCTCCCCTTACCCGTGCTGCCGGCCGCGGAGCCGGCTGTGCTGCAGGACCTGCTGGTACGGGGACTTGGCGGCGGCGGCGAGCCCGAGCGCCAGCAGCAGCAGCGGCAGCGGGCGGGCCATGGCCGGGCAGCGGCACGGACCGGACCGGACCGGCACGGCTCGGCTCGGCTCGGCTCGGCTCGGCTCGGCACGGCACGGCTCGGCTCAGCGGCAGCGAGCCCCGTTAAATGCGGCGGCAGAGCGGGGGCGGGAGCGGCCCCGCGGGGGGAGCGGAGCCGCCCGGCCCGGCCCGGCCCGGCCCGGCGGGAGGGGAGCGGAGGAGGGGAGAGGGGAGAGGGGCCGCCCCCCACCACGGGCATCCCTCCGTCCCTCCGTCCCCCCCCGCCCCTCCGTCCCTCCGTCTTGCCGCACGTCGCTCCGTCCGTGCCCGCAGTCCTACCGCGGGGGGAGGCAGGGATGGTTTATATCCCTCTGCCCAGATCAGCGTTTCGTCTTCAATTTCTTCTCCATCCGGACTTTTCCCCTCCATCCTCTCCCCAGTCGGGACTCAGAGCGGGTGTCCCACCGACTCCAGCCCCTCCGTGGTCCCCCTGCCCGGGGGCTCTCCCGGTTTCAGCCCAGCGCCGGAATGTCACCCCAGGTCCCCTCTGTGCCTCCCGGTGTCCACCCACTCCCAGGCACTTCCAGCACTGGCAGGGGTCACCCTCGGCAAGAGGTTTCTTGTTGCTTTTATACCAAACCAAATGAAATCAGGAGCTCTTAGGTCGAGAAAGTTGGGGGTGTTCAGTCTGCAGAAGCTTCAGGGAGATCTTAGAGACCCTAACAGTAACTAAATGGGGCTTACAAAAAGGAAAGAGAGCAACTTTTTATATGGGTAGGTAGGAAAAAAGAGAATGGTTTTAAACTAAAAGAGGCGAGATTTAGATTTGATATTAGGAAGAAATTCTCTGTGAGGTTGTCCAGAGAAGTTGTGGCTGCCCCATCCCTGGAAGTGTTCAAGGCCAGGCTGGAGCAACCTGGAACAGTGGAAGGCATCCTTGTCCATGGCAGGGAGTTGGAACAAGATGAGCTGGTGAGTTCTTTCCAAACCAAACCTCTGTGTGATTCTATGATTCACTGCAGCATCCCAGTGTTTGTAAAGGATTTGCTCTGACTGGACTGACATCAAAGTTGAAGGGTTCTTTCCTCCCTAAATCTGCCTGGGAAGCAAAAGGGGTCCTTTGGGGCCACTTGCCCTAAGGGACAGATCTGTGTAAAATCCTCTTGTGGCTTTGCAGACTGGGCAGTGGCCAGAAAGGGCAGCTGCTCAGCAAAGGATGGGAATTTAAATGTGCCCAGCGAGCAGCTGCTGAGCCAAAGGAAAATAAAAAAAAATCAAGCACTTTAAATTTACAAGAACTTAGCAATATCAAGCACTTTAAATTTACAATTTTTTTCCCCCACAATAAATAAATCTGATCTGCATAAAATCTATTAATGCTTATTGGAAAAAAAATCATTAAACCATTCCTCAGTCAGGATTCCTCTCCCCAGGGAGTGTTTCATTACTTCCTCCATCTAAGTAGGTAAATAATGAAATCTTACCTGCAAAGGCTCATGACTCCAGCATAAAAGATAAGAAACAGAGGTCTCAGGTCTTTCTGAGGAAAAGGTGATGTTTTAAACCCTCTTGAGCATTGCCTAAGAGCCTCAGCTGCACCTCTATAAAATGGAGGCAATTTTATGAGCCTCTGATTCTCTGTTTAAAAGAGAGGAGTGATCTATGCTCTACCCAGAAAGGGGTGACTTGGTTCCCTGGCTCTGGGCAGTGATTTTCAAATTTTCAGCTGTGAAGCCTGATTTGTAGCTCCTCCACAAGCTACTACAATTTTTTTTTTCTTTTTTTTTTTTTTTTTTTGCCAGGGGAAGGCTTAAAACTCTTAAAAAACTGAATCAAAAGCGGAGGGAAATCAAGCAGAGGCATTGCCAACTGCTGAGGCCCCTGAAAACAGCAGCCAATTGCAATTTTCCTGAAGAACATCAAAGATCCCACATGGTGGCAGAGCCAAGCCTCTGTGTAGGCTCCTGCCTTGCCCCCACGTGCTAGACTGCTGCTTTGGGAATCACAAGGTCCCTTTCACTCACAAAGCTGGTTTATAGATGTATGAGCTTCTCTCCCAGACACCCCAAGGAGCAGGAACCCCAGGTCCTCAGAAGAGCATCTTTCTCCAGGAGCACAGGGATGAGCTCACCAGGATCCCCATGTTCCTATCACAACCTTCCAGAACAAGGGTTGATGTCCTTGAGACACCAAACCCTGCACTGTGTCCAGAAGAAGTTTATTGAACCCAAAATGTTGGAAATCAACTTGACAAAGATTTTTCCGGGTGAAATGTTTCCCTGGAGATTAAGGCAGCAGGGAGTGAGGAGGGCCAGGCAGCTGTGAGGGCTCAGGGTGAGTGTGGGGAGGTATGGGCCAGCCCCACTGCCACGCTGTGCCCAGCACTGACAGGTTCTGGCTCCCTCGAGTCACATGCAGGCAAATCCACTGGTTTTATCTTCCACCGCTGGTTTACTTCCTCCCCATCCCTCCCTCCCAGTCCAGCTGCCTCCTCGTTCTTCTTCAGTGCATCTTTATTCATTATTCCTCTCCAACAGGACTTTCTGTACTGACTGAGCTTCCAATTAGCTTCTAGAATCTGTTTGAGAGCAGTTCAAGTGTTGCAAAGAAATATTTAAATATGCTTGGCTATCAGACTGTGACAAACCTATTTGTGAATAACCAGTGCTTTGATTTGCACTTGTTTTAACCTCTGCCTCCAGACGGATGTTTAGTTTGAAATGAAATCCACGAGCAGTGGACTCTCTGCACACTCATACAAATGCTCTAAAATCAATCACGTAGAAAATTGCACTTACACAAATAGACCCTTCTGTACACATTTCTGACATAACAGCTGCTCCACCAAAAGGGAGGAACCGAAAGACGTACCCTAAGCCAAACGAAGAAATCTTCAGCAATAATAAACATCTATTATTTAAAAAGCTTTTCCTGTATAAACAAAACTGAAGCTTGAAACTACTGAATCATTAAGACCATAAATATTTTTCACGTTGTTCTGTGAGCTGCACAGAAAGGCCAAAAGGAGAGCTTTTGGAGAAAAAACACCTTTCCACCTCTCTAGTAATAGTTTCAAGGTAAATAATCAACAACATGAAATTAAAAGTAGTTTCTTTGTATTTGTCTGCCATATTAAATTTCTGCTATCCTCAGAAAAATCTCTAATTCCCAAAATAAAAAGTCACGATGATGTTTGGTAACCCTCACATTCCTGCAACAGGCTGAATTTCCATTTCATTCAAAGCTCTACTTAATGGTGATTTCAGGCTGAATTTCTTTTCCCCCAGAGCAACTTCTGCTCTTGTTTTCACAATGAGAAAAAGCACTGAAAATAGCTCTGAGCATGTTTGTTGTGCTTTTGTTTGAAACTCTTCAGAATTTATTTGGAAGAATAAGAAGGTGATGCTTCATTCAGTTGTCTCCTGTATGTTGCTGGAATGCCAGGCAGAGAGATCACTGCCACGGCTGGAGGCACAGTCCTGCAAGGGACACAGCAGCATCAGAGCAGCTCCAGCATGAATGGGGCTGAAGCAAACAATAAATGGTCCAGAGAGGTGGGTTTGGAATATCACAGAGCAGTATTCCCTGGTGACAGCCAGGGAATAGTGCCTGGTCTGGGCTGGGAATTCAGAGGAGCCAGTAACTGGTGGGAAATGACAGTAACCACAAGCCTGTCCATACATTGGTGTGAGATACTTCCCATCTCATCCCACACCCTCACTTTGTTCCCTGTTTTCACTATCCATACTAACATCCGGGGAATATATTTCCCTTCTGTGTCTTTTTAGTTCTTTTGGAACAACTTCTTCACCCCAAATGCTCCCGCATTTGCCTTTTGGGTCTGTTTTCCATGTCCAGTGTGCTAACGATGTGGCAGATGGTCCTTCACACCGTGCTCTTGCTTTCACACATCAGTCTTTGAACAAGATCCTGATAAAGATCACATAATTCTCTTCATTTCCCTTTGCTGTGTCCAGATCGTGCTGGAAAAGGAAGAGAGCTAATCCCACTTGCCTCTACCACACACGTCAGGCAATTAATGGGATTTATGTTCCATCTACACTCTAAACTGTGTCCAAAAGGCCCTCTATATATTTGAAGCGCTATTATTATGTACAGTAGCATACTAATAAAATAGTAAAATACATATATGTACAGTAACATTCAGTAGCACACATAAAAGGCCAGGTTGGAGGGGGCTCTGAGCAACCTGGTCTAGTGGAAGGTGTCCCTGCCCAAGGCAGGTTTGTTGAACAAGAAGACCCTAGACCATGTGTTATGAACTGGTTTAAAGACAGAAGAGCAAAGAAAACGAAATCTCTGTGAATAAAACAGAACAAACACAGAAAAGTTTGAAATATAACCCAAAACTTGATTAAAACCAAATGAGGCTAGATGTTGGTTCCAAAGAAATTGATATATTTTATTTAATAGTAAAAGTGGCAAGGAGAGAAAAGAGAAAAGGGAAAAAACACTAAGAAACAGAAAAAGAAGTGTGCAGGGGTAGGAGGGCAAAGAGAGACTGACAGGGGTTAGGTAAAACACATCAACCTTTGGGGGGTCCCAAGGACATCCCGTGGTTTCCCTCCAACACACGTTTGGGCCAGGTGGGAACACCCAGGTTTCTCCCTTGCAGGGCCCCAGTTTGGCACTGTTCCCTGCAACATTGAGGGTCTGTTGGAGGGTCTGGGGACCCCTTTGTGGGGGCCTTTGATGGGTCAGGACACCCCCTCTGCTGTCCTTCACTTGGGTTTCTCCCTGGGTGAAGGGGCCCCTCATCTGAGCTGCTCTGCACAGCAGAGGATGGGCGTTCAGTGCCTCTCACAGAGGCTTTTCCCCACACACCCAAACTCTCCTCACCCTTTGTGGGAGGGTCTGTGCCAGCCTGGCAGCTGCTGACCC